CAGGGGAAGGTGTCCCTGCCATGGCAGGGGTGGGATGGGATGTTTAAGGTTCCTCCCAACCAAAACCACTCCACGATGGAACTGTGCAGGGAATGTGGTGCTCGCTCTGGCACTCGGGCTCCCCATGAGTTCAGCATGTCCCATGTCCTGGTGGTGCCACGGCCTGGCTGACCAGCCTGACCCTGGTGAGCCCTGTGGGGCTCTGATGGCTCCAGACTCACTGGCTGGACTGAGGCAAGCCAGGGCAGAGCTCCTGCAGTCAGCGTTGTTCAGCTTCATCCCATCAGCAGCCAAGGGACTTCCCAGGGAGCTCTGGGAATCCCAGAATCCCAAAATAGGTTGGATTGGGAAGAACCTTGCAGCTGGTCTCGTTTCACCCCCTGCCGTGGATAGGAATCTTACACTATCCCTGAGAAGCCACTTTGGTGCACTGGAACAGCAAAAGTCCACAAAAAATCCCCCCAAAGCCCAGATTCCTGTTTTGCCAGAATGATTTTTGGGGGCTGATGCAGGGGAAGGGATCAGGAATCCCTGAGGAGCAGTAGGAGCTGGGACATGGGTGGGTCCCCTGAGCCAAGCTGCTTTCACTGGCTGAGATTGTGGCTTCACACTCTGCTGTGTGAAAGTTCTGACTCGTGGTTTGAAATACCTTGAATTCTGTGCACAGCAGGAAAAAACAATCTGAGCTTCCTTAGGCTGCTGCTCTGAAAAAACCAGCCCAGTGCAAACCCCTGCCAGGAAGGATGGGAGCTCTCTGTCTTCCCCTGGCTGAGGGAGTTTGGGGTTTTGAGGGTGCCTGGACCCGTGGGTGCTGTGTTTGAAGTGTTCCTGTTGTTATTTTAGGCCATACAAACTGGGGGGGGAGTAGGAAGTTGAGTGTGTGATTTCAGCACTCGCAGTCCCTGCCCTGTGAGGGAGGGATCTGACAGAAACTCAGATTTCCCCTTGGTGCTGAGGAAGCAGCTCCTCAGCCTCGTGGCAGCCCTCAGAGGGCAGATGAGCCCTGGGGTGTTCTTGGTGAGCTCTGCAGTGTCTTTGATAATCTCTGCAGTGCTTTTGGTGAGCTCTGCAGTGTTTTTGGGGCTGGCAGGGGAAATGACTCATTTTCGAATGCAAAATAAACAGTGTGCAGCCGTGGGATCCCAGACTGGGCTGGAGGGACCTTAAATCCCACCCTGCCACGGCAGGGACACCTTCCCCTGTGCCAGGCTGCTCCAGCCCCAGTGTCCAGCCTGGCCTTGGGCACTGCCAGGGATCCAGGGGCAGCCCCAGCTGTGCCAGGGCCTACAGTCCCTCCCTGATCAGGAGGGATCTGACAGAAACTCAGATTTCCCCTTGGTGCTGAGGAAGCAGCTCCTCAGCCTCGTGGCAGCCCTCAGAGGGCAGATGAGCCCTGGGGTGTTCTTGGTGAGCTCTGCAGTGTCTTTGATAATCTCTGCAGTGCTTTTGGTGAGCTCTGCAGTGTTTTTGGGGCTGGCAGGGGAAATGACTCATTTTTGAATGCAAAATAAACAGTGTGCAGCCGTGGGATCCCAGACTGGGCTGGAGGGACCTTAAATCCCACCCTGCCAGGGCAGGGACACCTTCCCCTGTGCCAGGCTGCTCCAGCCCCAGTGTCCAGCCTGGCCTTGGGCACTGCCAGGGATCCAGGGGCAGCCCCAGCTGTGCCAGGGCCTGCCCACCCTGCCAGGGAACAATTCCTCATTCCCATCTCCCCCTTGATGCTCTTGATTTGCTTTTAAGGTGGGCTGGGAGTTGGTGCCTGTGGTGTTTGGTTCTCAGAGCTTCCTGGGATTCAGTGGAAGGGTGTGTGACACAGGGCTGAGGGCACAGATGGTGTGAGATACCTCACCACGTGCCAGACCAGCAGCGAGAGTGCAAGAAAGGATCCGTGGGACTGGAAAGTGAAAATTTCTCACCAGTTTAGAGACGGCTCCTTGCGGGCCTTCCAAGCACCTGGGAGGTGAATGGTTTGGGAAGCTCTGAGGAATCTCCCGCAGGTTTGCAAAGCTGGACCAGCCACGTGTGGCCTGAGGCAGCGTGTGTGTTCTGAGCTGGGGCTGAGAAATTATTGGCAGGCCTGTGAGAAATTATTGACAGGTATGATTAAAGCTTTGAGAGGAACACAGCCTGGCTTGGTGTGGGAGGGACGGTGAGGGTCACTCTGTTCCACCCCCTGCCATGGCCAGGGACACCTTCCACTGTCTCAGGTTGTTCCAGCCTGGCCTTGGACACTTCCAGGAATGGGGCAGCCACAGCTCTTCTTGGAAACCTAGAGCTCAGCTCATTATTTGGTATTTTGGACTTAGGGTTTAATGCTACTTGATGTAGAAATGAAAAAAACCCACAAACTTTTAACGTGAATCCACATTTCCAAGGAAGCCTGGGCCAGACTTTGACTCAAGTGCTTGGTCTTCTGATCCTGTTGATGTAAAAATTAACTGCCTGTGTCTTAGGAGACTCTGTTCTTCAGAGTTACAAATCAGCTGCTGTGATGTGGGTTTTTATTTATTCACCAGCCCCCAAAAACGTGGAGGTTTATTCCTACAACTTCCAGAGTTTGCTGGATTTTGTCCCGGCTCTTTGTCAGGCCAGGCTGGGTGGTGGGAGCTGTCCCTGCCCGTGGCAGGGGTGGCACTGGGTGATCTCCAAAGTCCTTCCAGCCCCACCATTCCCACCTTCTGTGACTCCCATGGTGTGAGGGGTCACTCCAGAGAAGCACATCGGGTGCAGAAGGAAAACCTTTCTCCCTGCTGGTCCCTGCAGGCTCCAGGGGAGATCCCTGAGCAGCCAGGGCTGCTGGAGCTGCCCAGGAGCCTCGGCCGTGTCCTGCAGAGGTTTTGGTCCTGCTGTTCCTGCCTGGCTCCACTGCTCCCTTCTCCTCAGCCCTTCCTCCTCTCCCCGGCCCCCGTTTCCCTCCTCTTTGCTGCCCTCCAGGCCCTGCCTGCCTCTGTCCCTTTTTGGCCATGTTTTTGGCAGCTTCCTCCTCCCCGTCCCCGGCTGTCAGTCTGTCCTTTTCCTGTCCTTCAGACCCAGCTCTTCCCTGTGGTTTCTCCTCCTGGCTGGAGGCCGATGGTGGCTGCAAACCCCTGGGTTTGGGGCTCTCCCCACCCACGGAGCTCCTGCCATTTCCTGCCTGTGAAATCACCTCCAGAGCTGGCAGAACCAGAGATTTTGTCCCGGCTCTTTGTCAGGCCAGGCTGGGTGGTGGGAGCTGTCCCTGCCCGTGGCAGGGGTGGCACTGGGTGATCTCCAAAGTCCTTCCAGCCCCACCATTCCCACCTTCTGTGACTCCCATGGTGTGAGGGGTCACTCCAAAGAAGCACATCAGGTGCAGAAGGAAAACCTTTGTCCGTGCTGGTCCCTGCAGGCTCCAGGGGAGATCCCTGAGCAGCCAGGGCTGCTGGAGCTGCCCAGGAGCCTCGGCCGTGTCCTGCAGAGGTTTTGGTCCTGCTGTTCCTGCCTGGCTCCACTGCTCCCTTCTCCTCAGCCCTTCCTCCTCTCCCCGGCCCCCGTTTCCCTCCTCTTTGCTGCCCTCCAGGCCCTGCCTGCCTCTGTCCCTTTTTGGCCATGTTTTTGGCAGCTTCCTCCTCCCCGTCCCCGGCTGTCAGTCTGTCCTTTTCCTGTCCTTCAGACCCAGCTCTTCCCTGTGGTTTCTCCTCCTGGCTGGAGGCCGATGGTGGCTGCAAACCCCTGGGTTTGGGGCTCTCCCCACCCACGGAGCTCCTGCCATTTCCTGCCTGTGAAATCACCTCCAGAGCTGGCAGAACCAGAGGCTCCTCAGGGCCACCACATCTTCCTGAAGGCGTTTTTTTTTTCCAGTTGGCTCCTGGAAGGTTTCACTGGAATGACCTCAGGGTCAGCAGGAGGCAGATGGGGGGAAAAAGAGAGGAGAAGCTCCAGGGAGAGCTCAGAGCCCCTGGCAGGGCCTGAAGGGGCTCCAGGAGAGCTGCAGAGGGACTGGGGACAAGGGATGGAGGGGCCACCACGTCTTCCTGAAGGCGTTTTTTTTTTCCAGTTGGCTCCTGGAAGGTTTCACTGGAATGACCTCAGGGTCAGCAGGAGGCAGATGGGGGGAAAAAGAGAGGAGAAGCTCCAGGGAGAGCTCAGAGCCCCTGGCAGGGCCTGAAGGGGCTCCAGGAGAGCTGCAGAGGGACTGGGGACAAGGGATGGAGGGACAGGAGCCAGGGAATGGCTGCCAGTGCCAGAGGGCAGGGCTGGATGGGATCTGGGCAATGAGGAATTGTTCCCTGGCAGGGTGGGCAGGGCTGGCACAGGGTGCCCACCTGGGATGTGCAGGGAGGCAAATGTGAGCTGCAGGTGGTGGAACAGATCAGCTGCTGTGATCACCAGAGGAAGGGCTGGAAAACCTTGGAAGGGCTGGAAAACCTTCCAGAAAAAAAGAATGTGCTGTGAGGAGAAGAAAGGGGCTCAGCCTGGAGGAAAGGAGGCTCAGGGGGACCTCACTGCTCTGCACAGCTCCTGACAGGAGGGGCAGAGAAAGGAGGAGAGGAAATGGCCTCAAATGGCACCAGGGGAGGGGCAGATCAGACATTAGGAACATTTTCTCCCTCACAGAGTGGCCAGGCCTTGGGCTGAGCTGCCCAGGGAGGTTTGGAGTCACTGGAATTGTCCCAGAGGAGTCTGGATGTGGCCTTGGGGACAGGCTTTGGGGTGATGCTGGTGGGGCTGGGTGATCCTGGAGGGCTCCTCCAGCCCTGGTGATTCTGGGTCCTTCATTTATGGCTTCATGGGGGACTGGGTGGGGTTTGTGGTTTTGTGCTGGGCTTGGTACTTTCAGCTTTATGTTCTTTATGGAGTGAATAAAAACCAGGGAGTTGGAATTCATGGATACACAGAATTCCACACTGGTTTGTGTTGGAAGGGACCTTAAATCCCACCCAGTGGGATTTTTGCCAGGGCCTGCCCACCTGAACGTGCCAGAGCCCCTGGAAACAGAAGGAGAAGGAGGGGAAATGGTTTTACCTGCAAAGCAGTGAAAATGTAACACATGGGGATGGAATTTGGAGACCGAAATTTGGTTACTGAAATGTTTCAATAATTTTTTTATTCCTCTTCTTCCTTTAGAAACTTCTCCCCATTTACCAGCCCCCCAAAACGTGGAGGTTTATTCCTACAACTTCCAGAGTTTGCTGAGGTGGTCTCCAGTTCCAGTGGAGAATGGCTCGGTGTTGTACACAGCCCAGTACAGAACGTGAGTAAACAGTGAATTAAACCAACTCGTTTTGTTCTAATCCAGGATAACAACTGGTTTTAAAACCCCCAGAAACCCTGAAAATGAGTAAGCACGGAATGAAAGGATGTTTTTTATCACAGATGTGTTTATGTGTCTCCAAGAGCAGCTCCTGGTGAGGCCCCTGGGCCATGACGTGTGCTCTGAGCTGAGGAGACATTGAATCCCTGAGGACACCCAGAAATGCTGCACAGAATTTTAGCCTTTCCTGATTCTCCCTGGCCTATTTAAATTTCCCCAGATCCCGAGGGGCTGGGTGTGGGCCCTGGTGGGGTTAGTTTAACCCTTGTGAAGCCAGAGCTGTGTAACATTCTTATCTCACCAGAACTGGCTGGCAGGGGTGTGGTGTTCCAGGTGGCTGCACTGCCGTGCTCTTGGTTTATTGCTGTGTTGATCTGAAAGCCAGGTGTCTGCTGAGGAAGGCAGGAGACTCCCTTGACATGGAAAATGTATTTTGAGGGATATCTCTTAACTTCTGCTGCCAATTCAACAATTTGAGGAGAACCTTTGACTGTTTGAATGCCTGATGCCCATGTTTTAGTTGTTTGGTCATGCCATGTTATTGCTGATTTGTGTGTTTTCCCAGAGCCATCAGTAAATACTGTTACATTTAAAGGCACTGCACTTAACATGGGTTTTTCTCTGAAGCTCATTTTTGCTTGCTACAGCCTAGAAAGTGAATAAAGAGCAAACACCTGAGAAGTTCAATAATGCAATTTGCAAATCCTCTGATTTTTGACATGCCCAGTCAAAATATCCCTTTTTCAAGGGCAGGTGAATCACTTTAAAATCTTTGCCTGCCATTGATAATAATCATGGGTGAGATAAAGAACACTGCCCCACCTGGTTTCAACAGGTGGTGATGTGTCTATTTGAGATGGAGACAATACAAAGCCACACACTCCATTTTCAGAAGGCTTCAAGCTGTTTTTATTCTAGCGTGCATCCTTTTTATACATTTTCATAAAACTCAGAAGTTTACACTTTACTCACTGGTCATGAGAGACAAACTTCTTTCATAAGTAAACATGGACCCTCTTACCCAACTTCTCTGTGGCTCACAGCAGTAAAACCTCACAGCCGGACGCTGCCGACAGAACACGCGCCTGTGCTCACATCTTGCCCTGCATCCTAAGGAACTGCTTTTTGCTGTGCTCTGCAGGAGGTCCTACCGCAACTGGAGCGACATGGGCTGTGCCCAGAGCCCCCAGACGTGGTGCAGCTTCCCCCCCGAGCTGCGGCGGCGGCGCTGGACCGTCGAGCTGCGCGTGCGCGCCGAGCTGGGCGCGCGGGCCTCGGCCTGGGCACACAGCGCTGCCTTCGTGGCACAGAGCAACAGTGAGTGCTGGCACCTGCCTGCCTCAGGGCACTGCTCTGCCCGGAGCGGGGTGCCCCAGGGAGCTGGGGCAGCCTGGGGGAGTTGGGAGGAATGAAGGGGATGTTTATTGAAGGGCCTTTTGGGGGTGTTTGGGGCTGGCGGGGGGAATGACGCAGTTCTAAATGTCAAATAAACTGTGTGCGGTCATGGGATCCCAGACTGGGCTGGAGGGACCCCAAATCCCACCCAGTGCCATGGCAGGGACACCTTCCCCTGTGCCAGGCTGCTCCAGCCCCAGTGTCCAGCCTGGCCTTGGGCACTGCCAGGGATCCAGGGGCAGCCCCAGCTGTGGCTCTGCCCAGGTGCCTCCAAGATGGAATCAAACAGGGCTTGGTCATGAGATCTCCCATTTTTATAAGTTTTAGTCCATTTGCATACAGGAGCCAACTGTCCAATTAATAGCTTCAAATGATGAAGTTTCATCCTCCTTGCTCGTTTGCCCACCCTCCTCTTTTCACATTGTTTGTGCTTTGGGCCTGAAGTTGGAAGAGATTGTCCTTGAGTCTCCAGCTAGAATGGGATAGTTTTGTCCTCACCACCCTGTGAAAAGATCCCAGTAAAAAGGATAATAGAAAGCTTAATATAATTTAATATAACTTAATATAAAGCTAAAAGTTGCACACCAAAACAGAACAGAGACACTTCAAACCCAAGGTATCAAGAGGATTGAGCTGTTACTGTCCACAAAGGCTCCGAGGCCTCCCAGGGTTTGGTTCTGCTCTGCTGGGGTGTCACCAGAGAAACCCCTGAGCCCCTGGGGTGCTTGAGCCTTCAAAGAGCCACAGGGTTCTTTTTGGGAGGATTTTCCATGTTCTCATTCCCCTACTTAGCTCTGCCCACACACACACCACAAACTCTGGGGTTTGTGGCAGCCTGAGGCCAAATCACCTCTTTCTGCTGGACAGATCCCTTTTCTGATAAACAAAAAGTGTCCTGATAAATATACATTTTCTAAAGTGCCCTGATAAATATAAATTGTTGTGATAAATGTAATCTGTCCTGATAAGTATAAATGGTTCAGATAAATATAAATGGTTCAGATACATACAAATTGTTCAGAGAAATATGAATTGTTTACACTACAGTTTACACTACTGCCCTGGAGATCAGCTCCCAAAAACCAAATCCATGGCTCCTCCTTCAGTGCCTGGATCAGAGTCACTGGATTTGAGGCACAGTGAGGAGCTGGAGTGATTTTTGCTGTTAATGAGAGCTTCTGAGAGCATTCTATTGGTATTTTCATGACTTACACCCTGGAGCACCGGAGGTCACCATGCTTATCCTAATGGACACATGGAGACATGAAAGCAAGGAGAGGAAAACTCATTATTGCTCTTCCCATCTAGGGCCCAACAGTGGGGTTTTGGGGAGCGTGGAAGGTGTGGCAGGCTGAGCAAAGGAAAAGATAATGATTTTATGGCCAGTCACTGCAGATAAACTGAGACACTTCAGAGCATCAACTATTGGTTAATATTTACTGAATTTCCAGGAAAAGTTACAGAAATACTGTAAATGCATAAAGTATTGAGGAGATGCTTGCCCTTTCCTGAGTGAAAGCTGTTGGTATTTGGGGTGTTTGTTGAGAGTGTCCAGGGCAGGGAACGGAGCTGGGAAGGGGCTGGAGAATTGCTGAGGAGCTGGGAAGGGGCTGAGCCTGGAGCAAAGGAGGCTCAGGGGCCCTTGTGGCTCTGCACAAGTCCCTGCCAGGAGGGGACAGCCGGGGGGGTCGGGCTCTGCTCCAGGGAACAGGGACAGGAGCAGAGGGAACGGCCTCAGGCTGGGCCAGGGCAGGCTCAGCTGGGCCAGCAGCAGGAATTTGCCCATGGAAAGGGTGCTCAGGCCTTGGCAGGGGCTGCCCAGGGAGCTTTGCAGTGCCCATCCCTGCAGGTGTCCCCTGGGGGTGGCACTGAGTGCTCTGGGCTGGGGACAAGGTGGCCATGGGGCACAGCTGGCACTGCCTGGGCTGGCAGGGCTGTGCCAGCCCGGGGATTTTGGGGTGTGTGGGGCTGGAGGCAGCTGTGCAGCCCAGGGTTTCCCTGCTCTCTGTGTTTGTTTTCAGCCACTCTGGGCCCCCCCAGGGTGAACAATGTCAGTGCCAGCCCTGGCTCTCTGCTCATCAGTGTCAGCCCCCCCTTCTCCCCTGAGCCTGGGGACCTGCTCCAGTACCTCGTGTCCTACTGGGAGAACAGCACCAGTGGCACAGAAAAAGTAAGAATTCTCTCACGTTTGTCCTTGCTGCCTGGGGGCTGAGGGCTGGGAGTCAGTGTCCCTTGGCAGGACAGCAGTGGGGGCAGAAAATCAGTTTATTTTGTGTCCAGCAAGGGTCACCACGGGGGCTGTGGAGAGAAGGGCTCTGGCCTCGGCACAAGGATTGCTGCACTTCCAAACTTGGGAACTTCCTTCCTCTGTTTGGAATGAAACCCCTCTGCTCCTCTGGGGACAGGACTGCTCTGCATTCCACAGCTTTCCCAGGCAGTTTGGGGAGCTCTGGGAAGTCCCTTCTCCTTTGCTGTGCTGGGAGCTGCAGGAGCAGCTGCAGGGGCCTGGTGTGCCCAGGGAGAGGAGGAGATGGAGCAGCAGGCTGGGGTGAGCTGGGATCATCCCTGTTCATCCTGAGGCTCAGAGCTTTGGCATCATCGTGTGCCCCTGCTGCTGCCTGGGAATTGTGTTTGGACAGGCCAGAGGTGCAGGGGAGGTGTTAAGTCAGGCTTAAAAACAAAACAAAAAAATTAAAAAAGAGGAAGCTTCCAAATGACATCAATCTGAAGTCAAACATCTGAAAAACAGAAGTAAAAAAAAAATTATTTACAGCTTCCTTCTGCCTCAAAGTCCTTGGTAAATCATCTCCACTTCCTTCCTGCCTTGCAGCACTGTGTGTTTTTCTCACACACAGAACACCTTCAGCTGAGAGCCAGGAAAGGAGTCAGAGTGGTTTCATTTTCCCCTCCATTTCTCTGTGTTTTGCTCCTGCAGGAGCTGCTGCAGAAGCTGCATCAAAACTCCCAGAAAAACAGAAATATTCCACTGCTTCTCTTGTTTGGGAAAGCTGAGTGAGGAAAAATAAAATTTGGGCTTCTTGAATGAGAAGCTTAAATGGGGGAGGGGTATTTGTGTTGAAAACTGGTCTGGATTTACAGCAACACTTTTTTTGTTGTGTGTGTCTTTCCAACAGAAGCTAAGTGAAAGCAAGACACTATTCCAAATTGGAAATCTGAAGGAGTCAACACTTTATTGCTTCAGCGTTCGAGTGAGGTTGAAGATCTACTCAGGTCACCTGTTGGAAGGGCAGCAAAGTGCCCCAGAGTGTCACAGAACTGCCCTCAGTGGTATGGACTGGGAATGTGGCTCTGAGGAGTGGGATGGGGTGGAACACCAGCCCTGCATCACCTGGGGTGTCCCTGCCCCAGCCAGGAGTGCTGAGAGCACCACGGGAATTCACAGCTGGCTTAGTGACAGAAGAATCAGGAGTTCAGGGATTCGGGGTCTGCGTGGTGCCTTCTCCTCTTCCTTCCTAATCCTGCTGTGAAATGGGATAAAGGAGTTGATGCCAGGCTGGGAGAGCTGGGGTGCTCCCCTGGAGAGGAGAAGCTCCAGGGAGAGCTCAGAGCCCCTGGCAGGGCCTGAAGGGGCTCCAGGAGAGCTGCAGAGGGACTGGGGACAAGGGATGGAGGGACAGGAGCCAGGGAATGGCTGCCAGTGCCAGAGGGCAGGGCTGGATGGGATCTGGGCAATGAGGAATTGTTCCCTGGCAGGGGGGGCAGGGGCTGGGATGGAATTCCCAGAGCAGCTGGGGCTGCCCCTGGATCCCTGGCAGTGCCCAAGGCCAGGCTGGACACTGGGGCTGGAGCAGCCTGGCACAGGGGAAGGTGTCCCTGCCATGGCAGGGGTGGCACTGGGTGGGATTTGGGGTCCCTCCCAACCCAAAGCATTCCATGATTCCATAGCTGTGAACCTGCCAGATGCATTTGGATTTTCTCCCTCTCTTGCAGAGGCCACCCGAGCTGGGTACATCATCCCCCTGTTTGTCCTGGCCCTGGTGGCTGTGAACCTGCTGGTGGCTGCTCTGCTGTGCCTGTGGAAAAAACACCAGAACATCAAGCACTGGGCTCAGCCCCCTCTGCAGATCCCCCCACACTTCAGGGAGGTACGTGGGGCTGTGGGCTGCTCCTGCCGGACAGAAACCCGGGGGGCACCCCGAGAGCAGGAATGCTGGGCAGGAACAGATGAACCAGGGATGGCTCAGAACTGTCCCTGTCCCTGTTGGGGCTGTGGGCTGCTCCTGCCGGACAGAAACCCGGGGGGCACCCCGAGAGCAGGAATGCTGGGCAGGAACAGATGAACCAGGGATGGCTCAGAACTGTCCCTGTCCCTGCTGTCCTGCTGTCCCCACTGCTGTCCTGCTGTCCCCACTGCTGTCCTGCTGTCCCTGCTGTCCTGCTGTCCTGCTGTCCTGCTGTCCTGCTGTCCTGCTGTCCTGCTGTCC